CACCCCCCCGAGAACTGCTGTGTTAGGTATCAAGGAGACAATGCCGGGCTGGGCACATCGCGCCAGCCTCCAAGGTGTATGAGTCAGTTGGCTTTTAACCTGGTGTAAAATATTAATAAGCGATTTAACTCTGTTCTAGATCCCTTCTCTGGGAATGTGCTTCTGTGAGGAAAATAAAGAGGAAGGAAAGTGGGAGTTGGTGGCCCCTCCAGTGAAGACGCTGACCCACGGCTCCAATTCTGCATTTAACTGGAAGAACTGGATCTTGGGCAACTGAGAGTCACCGTGACGTTTGCACAGCTGCACAAGGGACAGGCGAGGCTGGCACAGAGGCTGTTAGATGCTGTGGCGTGAAGGGATCCTAGTCTCTCTCGCCTAGTGAGATCTGTAGGAGCACAAGACGCACTTTTAGGCTCCGGGAAGCCTGCTGTCTCGTTCACGTTCATTACCGCCTGTAGATCTGTGACCCTGCAGACCAGCAGGCTCAGCTTCGGGCCGCCTTGTAACAGGTGTCTGCCATGTGGCTTGCATGGAAATGAGAGCTGTGACTCTAATTTCCAAGAGTTAAAGACTCACCACACACACACCCCCCAAAAGGGGATGTCCGCTTTATTTTATATGTTCCTATTTACCAAGTTCCCAACTGTTTTTCCCTTTTCTATTTCGATCAGTCTTTGGCTGTGCCCACACGGGCAGAAAGAGGTAGAATATTCAATAAAATGAGAGGCCATCCGCCAGACCACAACCAGGAAACTGCTGCTTGATGGCCACACCCTGGGTATTAGTTTCCTGTTGCTGCTGTAACAAGTCCCCACCACAGAGTGGTAAAGACAACACACATTTTAAACACACACACGATTTATTCTGCTGCAGTTCTGGAGGCCACAAGTTCTAAAGCAGGTCGATAGGCTGCATTCCTTCTCGAGGCACTGGGGAGGATTCGTTTCATTGTCTTTTCCAGCTTTTAGAGGTGCCCCCCCCATCCCTTGCTCCATGCACCTTTCTCAGTGGCGTCACACCTTCAACTCTCTCTTGTCCCTCTGCTCCACCGTGGGGCATCCTGCTGCCGACCCTCCTGTCTCCCTTTTCTGAGGTCTATTGTGATGACGACATTGGGTTCACTGGATAATCCAGGATAATCTACCATCTCAAGACCCTAACTTAACCCCAGATGCAAAGGCCCCTTTGCCCTGAAAGGCAACAATGCACGGGCCTGGGGATCAGGATGTGGACGTCTTTGGGGGCCACTCTTGAGCACACCACACCCCAGCACATTGGGGCTGTTATTACAGGGGCCCAGGTATGAGGATTTGAGACCCCCTTCTTGGTGGTCATTTTCAGCTTCTCCTTTCTCTCTCTTGATCAAGTGGAGAGGGGAGGTGGGCTTTGAAAATGGGAGGAGTGGGTCCTGTCCTGACTAACACGTAAGACAGACCAGACGGGGCCCCACCAGCACAGTGAATCTACCCAGAGGGTGTGAGGAAAATGGTGCCTCTGACTTGGAGAAGTTGGTCCCTGTGGTTGATGGGGGTCTTGACAGTAGTGTCCTCTCTCCCCTGCCCTGCTGAAGAAAAAGGTTGTCCGAGTGCTCAGGGATAGGGCACGGTCATCATAGTCGCCCTCAAACCTCCGCTTGCCCTCCTGGACCCCCCGTACCAGACCAACCTCACTAGCCATCATGATGAATACAAACTTTGCAAGTCAAGCTAATGGAATTTGGGTTGTCCACAGATGTCTGGGTTCACCCTCTCTGGGGGGGGGGGGCACTTCTGGGTCTCATGCCCCTAGGTAATGAGAGGGCAGATCACATGAGTAAGCTGAACTAGGCACAGATTTAGTGTTTGGAGTGGTAGAATAGATGTACATGGTTGGCAGTGACTCCTGTGCACAGCTCCCTTATCGCTAGCTGTTCTGGAACAGCTTCCAGAAATATCCCTGCCACCCATTTTGATAATTTCCCCACAATTATGATGTACAGATGGGGGTCAAAGGTCAAACCTCAATCTGAACTTATCCCGCAGATCCAGCCTGAATATGTGAAAGTGAGAAGAAATGAGGCTGGGCTTGCACACAGCCTGGCGGTGCTCATCTGCAGGAAAGGATGCCAGGCCTCAGCCGGGCGTGGTTGTGGGGTCATTGCTCTCTGACACCCCATCACACAGAACAGCTCAGGTACAACTGAAAACCAGGGCAAAATAACCTGGTAACTTTCAGTTCAAAGAACTTGAAGCACAGGTGATTTCATCAACAAAGGAGAATAAAAAATTTATTTGCAATTGAAACCATTTTCACAAACAACTAAGTTAAGAAAGATCAGTAACTGGTTAGTGTCAACCCCCGAGCCACAGGCATTTGTGTGACAGTCCCCATTCTCTGGGCCCCTTCTTAGTCTGGAGGATCGGACTGTCTAGGTTCATCTTCTTCAAAACCCGGATTTCCTGGGAAGGAAAGGGAAACGTAAGTGTTTGACACTCACTTTTTTCTTTTAAAATTCATTTGCTGAGTTGGCATTCTGGACTGGATAATTCTCTGTGTGGGGCTGTCCTGTGCAACGTAGAGCATTTAGTAGCATCCCTGGCCTCCACCCCAGAAGATGCCCGCCACCCTGCCCCACCCTCCAAGTTTTCAGACATTGCTAAATGTCCCCGGAAGCCAAACCCACTGAGCTATGGCAATGGCCCTTCTGCCCAGGCTATTTCAGGAAACTGAAGTCTCAGATGCCAGCTGGATCCTGATGTCAAGGCCCAATCTCTCCCAGCCTGGTTCTCGGACTTCTCGTCCTGACTTGCTCATGCTGACCCCTCCTTCTGCTCCCCCCACCATAGGTTCTGGGTGGGGAAAGCCTTACATCAGAGTGGAGCCCCTGCCTCCGGCCTCTGGCTTGGCCCCAGGGCACCCATCCCCCACCTGCCCCAGAGGAGCTCCCTAATTAGAGGCGCCCTCCCCACTGTGCTGTGGATCTGGTACAAACACCAGCCACCTCAAGCTCTCAAGGAAAGGCTATTAGAAGGGACCCTGCCTGCTCCCCACCCAGCCTCTGCTGTCTGTCTGGCCACCTCCAGCCCTCTCAACTCACCTGGAGGTGCCCCCCTCTCAGAAATACTTCTTAATACTGCTCCAGGTGAGTCACGTACCTGTCCTGTACCCACCAGTCACACAACGGTCACACAATAGCCATACAGCAGCCATGCAGCGGTCACACGGCAGTCACACTGAAGACACAGGCAGTCAAGTCACTGATACCCTCTGAGCTTTCTGTCCATCCACAGGGCTCAGCAAGCATGGCATCTCCAGGTGGAGATGCTCAGCACCCACCCAGAACCCTCTCGTGTGAACACATCTGTGTGGTTAGACGCTGTATGGACCTGGGCCTGCTCCACCCTCACGGAATCCCACGGGCACCGTGCCTCTGAGGGGTCATTCTCCTCTGCATTATGCAAATGAGGGACGTAGGAAGGATAGGACAAGCGGTCACAGCCACTAGCTGGGGAGGCCAGGATTCCGGGTCCGGCTCTCAGCCACAAGGCCACAATCCTTTGATGTGTTACCACAGTATTTGGGATTGTATTGCTCACAAAGGTCCAAATCTGTGTGTGTTTAAAGCATTTAGATAGAAAACAGCTTTATGCCATTTAAGTATTTCAGATATTATTTTCAAAAGAAAAGGAAATATATTTGCTCTTCATTTGCTGCAGAGACAAATTACGCTGCATGGGGCCCAGGCCCAGGACCACATATGTTGTGCTGTTCCCGGACCAGCAGCAGCCTGTCCACCAGGAAGCCTGCTTTGCATCAGACATAGGACATTTTTTGTAAGCACAGAACCCTGTCTGAGTTTTCTGGCCATGCCCTCAGCACTTGGGGAGAGATTTATAAAGATTCCAGGAACCGGAAGCCCCAAGCAGACTCAAGGTCACATCCCTGCCCCAGGACCTGCAGTGGCAGAAGCTTCTAGATGATGGTACATTCAAACCCACTTAAAAAGACCTGGTTCCCAACAGTGCCCGCTCCTGCTCACACTCCTGTGACCCAGACCTGGTAAACCATGTCGTAACACACAGCCGTGCTCCGCATCTCTATCGGGACCCTGCAGCCTGAGGCCTGCTCGCCTGGTAGAAACAGAGATTCGCAAAGAGCAGAGAGCGAGCATGTGTCGCACCTGCTGTCCCCATAGGAGGTCCTAGGAGGGAGCAACATCCTGTGGGTCTGACATGAATTCATAGAGGGTCCTCAGAGATCTTCTCAGCCCTGGCCCCGGAGCGGCCTTGGTCAAAGGGAGGAGAGCCCCACAGCAGGTCCCAGTGTGCGTGCGGCCTTCCTCCCCTCCAGCCCTCCTGCTCCCCCAGAACTCAGGCTCACCCTGGTCCAAGTTGTCGTAGCGGAACTCCTCCCGGCCAAACTCACTGCTCTCCTCCCTGAAGGTATCAGGCTCTTCCTCTCCAGACTTCATTAAATCGGCCTCCGTGTCTGAAACATCCACCTGTGGCTGGGCCTCCTCCACAGGCTCTCCCCTGCCTGCGATGAAACAAAGGGGAGCGGTGTCCAGCAGAGCACAGGCCTGTTCCTCCCCTGTGCGGCACCCTCTCTCCCTCCTCCCGAGAGCAGCACCCTGCCAGGGGACCATGCCTCCCCAGTGGGAGTCACCCAGCTCCAGCCCAGGCCTGGCAGTCACAGTGCCTGGTTCAGGGATGATGACTCTACTTCCCAAGGGTTTTGATGACCATACTGAGAAAGAGCAGCTCTCTGTTCCCCAGGGTTCTCCAGTTGATTGGGTGACAGTTTGGTAAAGTCAATGAGGACTAGTCTCCCAAGGGAAGAGAGCAGAGCCAATGCCTGTGAGAGCAGAGACCAGGGAGCTGGGGCCTGATCCAGCCTCACCTGAGGCTGGCTCCACCCTGACCTCTCCAGTTCTAAGAACCAATAAATTAGTATTATTTCACTAAGGCCAACTAGGCTTGGCTTTTAATCACTTGCAATTTTTCAACACCCCAGGCAGTCTAATCACTCCTCAGGACTTCTTCAGGGAGGGGCCTGGCACCCAGCTGCTGTCAGCTGGCTTTCCTGAGGTTATGCCCATGGCCAGCCAATCACCCACCAAGGTCCCCAATAGCCCCTGTGCACAGGAGGGACCAGGACTCAGCTCCCGGGAAGCAGCCCGGGCAGAGGCTGTGCCCAGCCCCTCCCCACCCCACCCTGGGGGGGGCCATACCCTCAGCTCCCGGGGCCTCCTCCTGCCCAGGAACGCCCACGGGCGGGTGCTCTTCAGCGAGGGTCGGTGTCCACAGGGCCAGTTCTGTGATCTTGTTGGCCTTCCATTTGGGGACGGCTGTTATCAAGGACTCCTCCTCCTCTTCTTCTTCCCCTCTCTCCTGTTGAAGTTTAACAATGTGAATTTGCCACCATGTGTGTAAACTCTGTGGGACGCTTACAGGAAGGAGAGAAAGGTCTGGTTTATAATGGCTTTTGAGTATTTGCATAACACGATTCAGCGATCGGATCAACTGCCAGCTATCGAGGTACAATCTAAGGGCTGAACGTGGCCCTGGAAGGAGCTGGGACCAGAAAGGGGAGGGCAGTGGGGACACTGTGCCCATGTTCTGCCCACGGACGCCAGGAAAGCCTGCAGGGTCTCACTCCCCAGCTCTAGGGCCGTTCAGACATGACCAAGATGAAACGCGCTTTCCAGTTGCTCAGCCACACTGTGCTGCTCTGAGTCCTTCCATGCAATAAAGCGAACATCATAGGAAGGCCCCAAAGCACACTGAGACGGCCTTGTGGCGATGTCAAAGGGGGTAAACACTAGAGCTCTAGTCCCAAGGACTATGGAGGGGAAATAAAATTCCGAGGCAGCTACTTTCCATCACTCAGCCCACAGGAGGAAATCCACGGCATGTCACGACCCCGAGCCACGAAATACAAGCCTGAAGCCGCATCCACATGCTTGTTTCTATTACCAGCATCCACTTTTATTCCATTTCAGCTTATTAAACGTTGCTCACAATCAGTTTAGCATGAACATTAATGTTAAGTATTAGAAAGGAACAAAAAGGGGAAATTGTAAGTGCTGGGAGTCATCCGAACACACCTGAAACACTGAGTTATGGCACAAATTTGGTGACATCACTGTGACAGATCTCAGTCGTTTCTGGGACCTAACTGTCCAGAGCCCTGGGGCTGGCTCAGAATTACTGGCTCCTAGGCAAAAAGACTAGGCCGAGGTCCCAGGAGTAACTGTGAAAGGGTAGCGTCTTGTTCTGGGAATTCAGTCCTAGACTAACGCACGCACGTGAAGAGGGGCCGTGGAAACACGACAGATCCCTGCCACTTACCATGTCTGTGAGGCGGTACTCCCCATGCTGCTCGCATCCGATGTCAAACACGTACTTCCCAGGGCCAATGGGCTGCGAGCACAGAGAAGCCAAGAGGTGCTTCACTCTTGAGAGTCCGCACCCAGCAGGAAGTCCAAAATGCTTTAGAAATGTTACCCCCTAAGCCCGCCCACATCATGCGACTGGGGCAAGTCCGATACAGGCCAAAGAATGCTTTATGAACTAAAGGCTACCAGAATTGCAACTATAGGGCCTGTTTTGTCTGTTAAAACTTAACTATATTTTATCTCTTTATAAAAGTAACGTGTTTGTTACAAAAGTTTTACTAAGTCAGCAGCCACGGGCAAACTAGGTAGCGATAAAACTACTGATATTTTGAAGTAACCTCTGTAACCTTGTTCCTAGGACAGAGGGTTTTTTTATTAGAAATCTGATCATAATTACATGTACTGACTCCTACTCTATGTTTACTAGAAATTTGGCCCGGATGCCTTCCCACAGGTACAGACATTCTTCCACGACCCCATCAACCCGGCATTTTACTTCATCTGAGAATGGGAATCTGTTTCACTCGTTCACTATAGCTGATCTTGGTCTGCTGACACTTTCCTTTGACCAAGACTCTATAGTAGACATATTCTGGGTTAGATCTCTGTGCGCACTTTAGAGAGCGTCCTCGGGGTAAATTTTCAGAAGTATCATTTCTGGACAAAGGTATGTGCAGTGTATACACCCGAGAGTGAGGACCCCGCAGCAGCGCTCAAGAGTCTCTTTGTCTTCAAACCCTCGTGTTTTTTCCTGGACCTTAACATTTTGTTCTATCTTTACACTTTTTTACTATATAAAAAATCATTTAAAGTCATATATTTTAAGTTATTAGTAAGGTTGATTTTTTTTCACTATTTTGACCATTTAAAACACATCAATTGATGTGCTTTACATATTAAATGCTGCAAATATCCTTGCCCCATTCATAATATAACTCTCAAATTTCCTGTATAGTGTTTTCTAATCTATAAGGGATTGTTTTTATTGGGCAAAATCTCCTGGCTTTCTCTCTATATTTTTGTTTAGAAAGTTTCTTTTGTCATTTTAAAGTTAACAAATATTCACCTATTTTTCCTGCTGTGATTTTCTTGTTTACATTTAACCCTTTATTCCCTCTAGACGGTATCTTATCTTTATCTACAGGCTGCAGGACAAACTCTCATTTTCTTTTTCTCCCAAGTGGTTACCAAGTGGTCCCATTTCTTGGCTTCTCCCATCGTTTCTTTATCAATTTGAGATGACTTTCTTATCGGGTGCTGACTTATATACACGCTTGGACCGTCTCTGAACTTGCTGCCTCACTGATCTTGTTGTCCTAGTAAACACCCCCAGGATTCTGCTGGGAACCACCCATAGGATGCGTAGATTTGAGGAGAATGTGCTGTTTTACAAAGACTGAAAGGAGAATCTGTAATCAGGGCATGAATGACACGTGAATGAAAACTGAGTTTTACGAGAGTCTGCAGCTACTTCATTCAATCAGTTCAGTGTTCCCTATGTCAACCTAACATCTTTAATTTGCTCGGCAAACTCTTTTGTCAGGGACAGTGTCTGCTCAGCCCCTGATCAGAGCTACTGCGGATGCCAGGCTGGGAAGTCCCAAGTCAGCTGGGTTTTCTCTCTACCCCACTAGGGATCGGATAGGAGGGCAAGAAGAGACACAGGTCCTCCCCCAAAGGAGATGACAGGCATGGGTGCTGCGAGCTGCAGGCCTCAGGCCCGAGGTCCCACCGCCACCAGGAGAGGAAGGGCTCCTGGTCTCCCTCCCCAGCTCCAGCTTCGGGCCCCCCAAGGAAGAGAAAGTCAAAACCCCCACATGCTCATAGCAGAAGATGTTCAGTAATTCCCGACAAATCAGGATCTCACATCTGATTCCCCCGAGATGGGCACACAATAGGAGGTCAACATGCCTGCTGTCCTAAGGCCATCCCAACCACTGCTGGAAGAGACTGTGATTTACAGAGAAACAGGCCAAGCCTTCCCGCCCAGCTCTGCCCTCTGTGGGTACCAGGATGCTTGGAGGAAGGCACAGCTGCCCTATTTCCCATATCAGAAGGATAGGAGGGTTTCCTGAGTTTTTAGTACTTTTACGGATACACAAGCTGGGGAGGAGAGTACTGTGTATTTCACTGGCAAACATCACTTCCTCTTACTTACGTTTTTGTTCAAGAACTTGCCCTGGTACCTGTGGTTCAGGTGAATGAGCTCGGCCGCACCTTCCTGCTGTCCATTCACCCAGGTCCCCACATACTTGCTGCCAGTCTCTGCGTAGACATAGGTGCCTTGCCCATGCCTGGTTAAGAGAGGGAACATAGCGCCTTGTGTCTGGAAGCCCTGAAAAGCCTCCCGGGTGTATAGACAGGCATCTCCATTGAGGGTGGCCAGGTGGACACAGGATCACAAGCCGTCAGTCCTCTATAGCTGCCCCATCAGAGCATGCCTCCTGCTCACTGTGCCAAAGCATGGGGCGGGCATCACCTGCGGACAGCAGGGACCTTCCCGCAGGTCAGCTGATGCTCGTGGGAAGAGGCAGCACTTCCGGGAGCTGAGGCTCCGTCCCCAGAAGGTTCTTTTCTGTGTCCTCAGGCCCAGGGCCCTAGGGGGAAGGACCCACGTGCTCTCCCCGTCTGGTCTGCACCTGCCCCGCAGTGCATCATCCAGCAGCCTCGCCTTAAGGCCATGAGGGTCAGAACTGCCTGGCAGAGTTGGCTCATGGACTTTGTCACGATTCTGTTTCTTAATAAGACATTGCCATATTCTCATTACACGAATCAATCTACAGGACTAAAAGGAGAAAGGCCCAAACCTTTGGTGAGCAGACCACTCTCCAGTGTACGTGTCGTTGTTGACATAGTAGTAGACGCCGTGGCCGTGCCTCAAGTCATCTGCCCACTCCCCTGGAAGAGACGGCACAAAACCAAGCGCCAGTGAGGGGAAGGGTGCCCGCCCTCACCGCTGCCTCCTTCCACTCCGGCTTCCCTCCGGGCCCTGCCTCTCGGCCAGATGGCGTGGAGTGGGGAGCTGGCTAAGGGAGTTACTCAGGGGGTCGCTGAGCACAGGGCTGGGCAGGTGTATGTATGGGAGCCACAGTCACGTGTGCGTGGCCAGCAGTTGGCCAACAGCACAGCAGGGATTTAAACCAGGGCTTGCCTGCCCTATTGCCAGTGGTCCCAGCTCCACACTCCTCAGCCTTGGTTGTATTTACTGATCCAGCAACCACTTCCAGCCTCGATCCTCAGCCGCCTGCCAGCACCTCACTCCATTCCCCACCTCGCCACCTGGCTCCAACCCGGGCACCTTCCTGCCAGGCCACCCTGGGCAGCCCCGCCCGCACACAGCTTCATGGGAGTGGACACCACGCCCTTGCCAACTAGGCCTCTCCGAGGACTCCTCCCTTGCCTAAGTGCCCTCACCTACTCTCCTCTGTGCACGGTCCTGCCCTGGCCACTGTGGCTCAATTGGTTGGAGCTTTATCCCATGCACCAAAAGGTGGCGGGTTCAATTCCAGGTCAGGGCACATGCCCGGGTTGTGAATTTGGTTCCATCCCCGGTCGGGAAGCACGCAGGAGGTAACCAACTGATGTTTCTCTCTCCCCCCTCCTCTCTCTAAAATCAATTTTTTTAAAGTATAAAGGTACTGAGAGTATTCCTTCACCCAAAGCTCACAACATCTTCAAATCTTGCAGCTCACATAAGAACGAAACTTAACAGAGGTTTCCAAAGTTCCAAACTATCCTAAAAATGAACAAGGGAGCTGACCTCCTGGGGGGTGCTGCAAGAAAAATATATTAAGTATTTTGCAGAAAACTTTCAAAAATGAAAGAAAAAGATTAAATTGCAAAAGGCACTAAAAGTCAAGCCAGAGAAGACTGGTGAGCAAACTTTTTAAAAAGTCCCAGTTTACCTAACAACTTGTAGAGACTCTGCCCAGCAGATTATAATCCACTGATATAATTATCATAATCATAATTGGATTATAATCAGTACACTGTAGAACTGAGGAAGGTAGCTGAGAGAAAGGTCACTTCCCTGCTTCCCTACCTCTGGTCAAGTCACCCGCCAACCCCCCC